TAAAAGCTAGCAAGCAGCCATCTAAGATGCATTAATTGGTCCCAACCATCTGGAGTAAAGGAGAATGAAAAACACCAAAGACACAAGGAAATTATTAGCCCTAGAGACAGAAGGGCCACATAGACCAGAGACTTCATAAGCCTGAGACTAGAAGAACTGGATGGTGCCTGGCTACCGCCAACGGCTGCCCTGACAGAGAACAAAATAAAGAGTCTCTGATGGAACGGGGGAAGGGTGGGGTGCAGAACTCAAATTCTAGTGAAAAGACCAGACTGAATGGTTTGACTGAGACTGGAGGAAACCCAGAAAGCATGGCCCCCAGACTCTGTCAACCCAGAACTAAGAAAAATTTCCGAGGCCAACTCTTCAGACAAAGATTGGACTGGACTGTGGGACATAAAACGATACTTGTGAAGAGTGTGTTTCTTAGCTCAAGGAGATACATGAGACCAAATGGGCAGCTTCTGTCTGGAGGTGAGATGAGAAGGCAGAGAGGATTAGGAGCTGATTGGATGGACACGGGAAATCAGGGGTGGAAAGGAGGAGTGTGCTGTCACAGTATAGGGAGAGCAACTAGGGTCACATAACAATGTATGTATAAATTTTTGTATGAGAGACTAACTTGAATTGTAAACTTTCACTTAAACTACAACAATTGGAAAAATACTGTCTGAGATTTTTATTTATTCACTATCTCTATAACTGGTTAAGTCATGAATTCAAATAACATAGGTGATTATGTTGACACTAATTTTTCTGGCCAGATGTCAAGTAACAAGGTGTAGCAGTTAAGGATGTGGGTTCTGTTGTCAAACTATCTAGGTTCACATCTCAGCTCCACTAGTTAACTTTAAATACTCTCTCTATGCTTCAGCTTATTCATTTGAAAAATGGAGGTGACAATAATTATAGTATACTCAAAGAAATTATTGTTCATTGATGATGGGTTTGGCACAGAGCAAGGGCCACAATCACACTCATTGTTATTTGTATAAATAAGAATAATCTTTGTGCCTAGGAGAGTTGAGCATTTAGTAGGTTTAACAAACTCACCTATTAATAGTACTGAAATGTTTTTCACCCAAAAAAAAAAAAAAATTGGTGCCATGGAGTCAGTTCTGACTCATGGCAACCTAGAGGACAGAGTAGAACTGTCCCATAGGGTTTCCAAGGAACAGCTGGTGGATTCGAACTGCTGACCTTTTGATTAGCACCTGTATCTCTTAACTACCGCACCACCACGACTGCAAAAAGAGGAAGCCACAATGCTGAGATTCAGATAGTCCCAAATAGCCCTCACAACCCCATCTTTTCCCTGTGGCCTCCCTCCTATTAAACGCATGTCTGCCATGCCAGCAAAGCCCAGAAAACCTAACCAGTGCCTGTGTCGGCCCCAGTATTGCCTGTCCATGTGCTTGCCCTGTGTCTCCTTTGGGGCTTCAGCTCCCAGAGCAGACAAATGAGGACAAGTGTGGCATGGGTGACCTCATCTAGGGAGCCAGAGGTGCCATGATTATTTGCCTATGGGGTTATCACCACTGCCTCCATGGACATCATCTCCTCCACAAGAGTCTTGATCTGCTCCAGCCAGAACTGCTCAGGGACAGAAGGAAGCCCATGCCAGCCCCAGCAGGGAGGCTGGCAGGCCAGTAGGCACCAGAATGTCCCAGAGAGGACATAGGCAAACAGAACATGAGTTAGCACCCTTGATTCCTTGAAAGGAATCAATGGCAGTGCCTAGGAGGTAGGTTTTGGGGGCAGTTGACTGGTTTGGGCAGCAATCAATCAGAAAGAATGCACTCTACAGTGCTGGGTAGGTATGTGAAGGGTACTATACATCAGGCCAAGGTAGCGGGGGTGATAAAAGGCTCTCACTGGCCATTCCCTGCAGAGAAACCATAGATGAGGGAAGCATGTCTAATGAGCATGACCCAGCAACACAGAGCAGCCTCACTGTGTAATTAAAGCAGAACACCTAGCTCAGGGCAGAATTGTCTGCCTCTCCCCACTGGAACATAAGCTCCCTGACAGCAGGGACTTTATTTGTTCACTACTTATCTTAGTCTGGGTTCTCTAGAGAAGCAAAACCAGTAAAACATATAAATATATATACAGAGAGAGATTTATATCAAGGAAACAGCTCATGGGATTGTAGAGGCTGGAAAGTCCAAAGTCTGTGGATCAGGATAGAGGCTTCTCCTGATTCATGTAGCCGCAGGGGCTGGCAAACCCAAGATTGGCAGGTCAGAGAGCAGGGCTCTTGCTCACAAGCTGTGAAGATTGACGAATCCCAAGATTGGCAAGCAAGACGGCAAGACTTCTCCTGACTCACATAGCTGCAGGGGCTGGTGAACCCAAGATCAGCAGGTGGGAGAGCAGGACTCTTGCTCACAGGCCGTGAAGATCAATGAATCCCAGGATTGGTAGGTAAGCTGTTAGCTCAAGTCCCAAGAACTGGAGGTCAGATGAACAGGAGGCAGTTGCAGGATCCAGAGTAGGCAAAAGACAGAACATCCACTTATATCTGAGTGCAGGCTACATACCCAAGGAAATTCCCTTTAAAACTGATTGGCTACTCACAGCAGATCCCGTCACGGGGATGATAACATATAAATACTGAGAATCATGTCCCAGCCAAGCTGACACACAATCTTAACCATTACACTGCTGAATCCCTAGCTTCTAGGATGACACTTGCAGAAAGTTAAGCGCTCAGTTGTGCTGTTGGTGAAGAATATTGAATATGTCGTAAACTGTCAGAAGAACAAACAAATCTGTCTTGGAGAAAGTACAGCCAGAATGTTCCTTAGAAGTGAAGATGGCGAGACTTGTCTAGCTTACTTTGGACATGTCATCAGAAGGGACCAATCGCTAGAGAAAAACATGCTTAGTAAAACAGAGGGTCAGTGAAAAAGAGGGAGACTCCCAATGATATGGATTGATACAGTGGCAGCAACAATGGGCTCAAACACAGCAATTGTGAGGATGGAGGGCAACCAGGCAATCTTTCATTTTGTTATACCTAAGGTCACTGAGTCGGAACTGACTCAATGGCACCTAACAACAACAGTTTAATAAATATTTATCTAACAAATGAATGTGTCCACCCATCCATCTACTCTTTCTGTCAATCACTGAAGTGGAAACATTTTGGGATATCTGTCAAGATAACAGAGCCCTAACGACACAGTGGTTAACAGCTCAGTTGCTAACCAAAAAGTCAGCAGTTCAAATTCACCAGCTGCTCCTTAGAAAACATGGGACAGTTCTACTCTGTCCTATATGGTCGCTATGATTTGGAATCCACGGCACGGTAATGGGTTTGGTTTTTGGTATTTTGGTCAAGATAACTTTCTGTGAAATCTTTCCTCCCCCGAGCATGGTGGGACTCTGAATAACCCTTTTAATCCTATGCCACAATTGATTGTACCAGGAGGACCCCTCATCCATGCTATTCAAACCAGATTCTTGGACTAGGACTCAGCAGAGCCAATCAGACACTGGTAGAAGGGAAATGTGTCAGCACAGTAAGGGTAGAACTGCTCTTTTCCACCACATAAACCTAAGCTACTTAAGGACAAGAATTGTTTGTTCAAAGCTGTATCCCCAGCTTCTAGAAAAGTGCCCGGTACATGGTAGGTCCTTGATAAATGTTTGTTGAATGAATTAATATCTGCATGTAAACTAAGAAAGAACTAGAGACTCAGAGTCCCAGCAGTTCCCCAGTCCTTGTTTCTGCCCTTTCCAGAATTCTGTATGCCGCCTACCCTTGAGCTCCTTGAGATAACCCTGTGTTCCTAGTCTTCTTTTCTTTTTATCTCTTAAATTGCTCAAGATTTTTTCTGTCACTTGCAACAAAAATATTAACAAAGACTCACACATTCACTTTCCTACATGTATTCCTCTCTCTCTCTCCCTTTCCCTTCCCTTCTTGCCTTCCTTTCTTCCTTCGTCCCTTTCTCCCTCCCTCCATTCCTTCCTCTGTCTTTCCCTTTCTGCATTTTTCCATCTCTCCATCTTTCCCTCCCCCCTTTCTCCTTTCCTCCCTCCTGCCTTTCTTTTTTTCTCCCCTTCCCTCATTCCTTCCTTCTTTTTTTCCTCCCCCTCCATCCGTCCTTCCATCTTTACCTCTCTCCATCTTTCCCCCTTCCCTCCCTTTCTCCTTCCCTCCTTTCATTCTTTCTTTTAAAAAAGCCATATTTCCTATGAGCTGTATACCCTATGCTATAGATCTGGTGGCATAGTGGTTAAGAGCTTGGCTGCTAACCAAAAAGGTCGGCAGTTTGAATCCATCAGTTGCTTCTTGGAAAACCTATGGGGCAGTTCTACTCTCCTATAAGGGTCACTATGAGTTGGAATCGACTTGATGGCAACAGATCTGGGTTTTTTTGGTTATACTTTATGCTGGGCTCTAAGAAAACTGGGATAACAAGTATTGAAAGTGAATTTGCTAACAGGGTAACCAACAACTAGGACATACTGAGATTAATATGATAATACAGGGACACCAAGGAGCTGTGGTAGCCCAGGGGAAAGACACCTGGTGTCAGCAGGCTTGAGTTTAAACCCAGGACACCTGGCAATATAATTAACCTTGATTTCCTCATTCTTCTGTAAAATAGGATAAAGTAATAATCCCTACCTGACCACAGATTTGCTGTGAGCATTACATAATGTAAGCCTGTGAAAATGATTTGTTCACTTTGGAGTCAGTCCCTAAACAACATTTATCAAATGCCTATTATGTGTAAGGTTCTGGAAGCAGTTCTGAGTGAGGGCCCAAAGCTCAGCCCAACAGGGGAACAGATCTGCCCATATGACATGTCCTAGATCAATAACAAGAGTCTAGATCAAAGACCAGTTCATCAGAAACAGTTCTAAACCCCTAAATTCTGCTGGTAGATATAGAACTACCATCCCTGTGGCTGTCTTATCCTTCATCCCTACTCCAAGTACTGGGCCTAAAATAAAGTTTTAATTTGTCTCTCCCTCCATAACAGTTTCAAAAGGATCAGGAGCTGCAACATTTTCTGAAATGGGTAGAGAAATTCCCGTGTGCCTGTCCTCGCTGGCTGTGGGGGAGCAATTTTGCCTTCCAGGTCTATGATCCCGACTACGCGAAGGTGATTCTGGGGAGACCAGGTGAGAGCAAAACTTACATCTGGCTGGAGCAGCTCCTTCCTCTCGGGTACAGGTCCTCCCTCTTGAGTAAAATTTCACGAGAGCTCAGGTCAAATATAAATATCTAAACACTACCAACCATCCTCTCAACTCAAAACCCAGCCTCAGGCCAACAATAACTTCTTAGTGCTGGACATTTAAAATATCTGTTTGGGGCAGAATTTCCTCCCTTCCCCCTTCCCTCCTTCTTCCTTCTATTTCTCTCTCTCCTTACCTCCCTCCCTCCTTCTTCATTCTATTTCTGTCTCTCCTTATCTCCCTCCCTCCCTCTCTGTCTTCTTCTCTGCCTCTCTCCATTCCTCTCTTCCTTCCATCCTTCCTTCCTTCCACAGAATTTAGATGCTCTGTGGAGTACACTGCCCCGTACCTGAAAGACAAATTTTCTGTCCAGACTGGGGTGGGTCTGGTAGCTATTATTCCTGTGTCATGGATTGAACTGTGTCCCTCAAAAATATCTGTCAACTTGGCTGGGTCATGATTCGCAGTACTGTATGATTGTGTAATCTGATGTGATTTCCTTATGTGTTGTAAACTCTATCACTATGCTGAGGTTATACTGATGAGGTATACAAGATTCGATTGTATCTTAATCCAATCTCGCTTGAGATATAAAAGAGAGAAGTGAACAGAGACACATGGGAACCTCACACCTCCAAGAAAGCAGTGCCAGGAGCATAGTGTGTCCTTTGGACTTGAGGTTTCCTGCGCTGAGATACTCCCAGACCAAGGGAAGACTGATGCATCACAAGGACCTTCCTCCAGAGCCAACAGAGAAAGCATTCCCCTAGAGCTGATGCCCTGAATTTGGACTTGTAGCCTACTGGACTATGAGAGAATAAACTTCTCTTTGTTAAAGCCATCCACTTGTGGTATTTCTGTTGTAGCAGCACTAGATGACTAAGACATTCTGCTTGTCCGGGACATGGGATGGCAAAGTCACCATAAATCCTAGAAAAGCCACAAGGCTTCTGTCTCACTGATTGGCATTTAAGACATTGCCTACATTTCTAGCAAATTCACCATTCTACCCCTATGGGTTTCTGCTGCAGGTACTCGGAGCCTGCCTCACTGCGTCCATACTGACTATTGAGACAGATAGAGTAGGTGACAGGAGGCAAGTGAGAGGCTTTGCATAGATTTACAGGTGACAATCATCAAGAAATGATGGCAGCCAGTGGTCTGGAACACAGCTGCCTCCTGCAGGATGCCTTGCCTGATCCCTTCCACTCTCATCCTAGTGCCCTTCCTAAACTTTCAGACCCAAAATCTCATGAGCCCTACAGATTCCTGGTCCCCTGGATTGGTACGTATGTCTAAACAACAACTGCCTTCCAATCACCAGGTAGGTTGGCCACAAGCGATCTCTTTGGCTCACAGGGAACAACATGTGTCCATCCATCACTGTCACCACCCCCACCCCTGAATCAAGCCTCATTTCTCTTCTTTTCTCAGACCCTGACCCCATCCTCTTGATCAGAGCTCTCCAGTAGCTCTACTCCTTCCACAACTCTTCTCAGTTCTTTCCAAATGTCAAAGCTTAACACTCATTTAAGACCCACCCTTAATTATCACTTTCAACTTTTATCTCATAGCTATCATAATCATATCCTATGTACCAGCCAAAATAGCAACTCACATTCCTGAAATGTGAAAAGCGTTCCCAGCCTTTGCACATGATGTCTTCAGATGGGTTTCTTCCCTGATGACAGCATTGCTCCCTCTCAGATTGTGTCTGGTAGTCCCTCTGATCCTGTCTCTCCCAACACACATACACTCGCTCATCTCTGGCCCAGGATATGGTTTGCTTCTGTTGAATGGACAGACATGGTTCCAGCACCGGCAGATGCTGACTCCAGCCTTCCACTATGACATCCTGAAGACCTACGTGAGGATCATGGCTGACTCTGTCCAAATTATGCTGGTGAGTGGGTATCTATCTCTCTTTCTCTCTCTCACCTCCACACACACCCTCACTCGCAGACCCCTGCACACACACCAAACCCACACACATTCCACTGTCAAACACATTGTCCTAGGGACGTCTGTCAGACACAGTCATACACAATGACACTCTCAGACCCACAGACATGCACATCACCCCCTGTTAAGGCACATACATATTGTCAAGCTCTTAGACACACTTGAAACGCAAGGACCTCTTGGCTCCCGCAAACACTTACATGCGGTATCACTCACTCTGATGTGATTCCCATACTCCAACACACATGTGCTTACTGCCATGCTGAGACACAGATTCAGACTAACCTACTGACACACATACACACATATTTAGACACATCAAGAAGTACTTGGCAGATATACACAAGCATGCACTCTTACACACTCTTGTACATATGCCCAAATACACTGGCTTTTCAGCACATAGAAAGAAGCTCCATTCTCATGTTGGTATGAATAAAATCCCTCTCCTAATTGACTGAAAATGCCTCCAGCACTTACCAAAAAGCAAATTATCACACCACCGCTGTGAGAGCAGTTTTCTCCAAAAGCAGGTGGGATAGGAGATGAGCCAGCCACTATCTTGGATCCACACTTTGCTCATCACCCAAAAAGAGTGGGTTAGACTCTATGCAGGGACCCCCTCACCACCAACCTCCATGTGTTCAGCACTGTGGAAAGAGGAATGGTCAATGCCCCTTGCACAACAGGACAAGCTGCACCTGGCTGGCCTAGGCAGTGCCAGCCTCAGTGGCAAGAAGGACATCCAGGATGTCTCTGGCCTGAGGCCCAGGGCTTGTGCATAAATTTGAACCACTCCATAGAGAAATGGACACTGGGTCTACGTTTTCATGGTCCAGACTCTGTCATGCCACTGCCATACATCAGGGCTCTGATTTGTCACTCGCCTTGGGCTCAGTAAAAAAATTGCTGAATGAAAAGGAATTGAAGTCCCTGATGTCCATTCCATGAAAGACCTCATCCTGACCTTTTAGGCTTTATCTTGCATTGACATGTTTGATCCTTAAAAATTTGGTACAACCTGTCCCTCAGGACTACCTTAGCTCTCAGGAAACCAGATCCCCCTACTCTAAGAACCCTGAAAAAAGTGTTTTCTGGTCAACCAAAAGGTAGTTACCATCATAAATTGTTCCATAATTTAAAACTTGATTAAGACTATTATGAGAGGATGTCTTTAACTACATAATAAAAACTGGTGAGAAAATAGACATCAGTTTATAAACATTTGCTTTACAGTCTTACTTTGGTACAATGCCATCTGCTTTAGAAAGTGAGGAATTCCCAACAGGACATCCAGGGAGACAGAGAACAGAGTCTAGCCTGATCAGCAAGGACCTTCTGGGGGAGTCTGATAGAGTCAATGTTCCCCTCCTTCCCAGGACAAGTGGGAAAAGCTTATAACCCAGGACCCATACGTGGAGTTCTTTGAACATGTCTCCTTGATGACCCTGGACACTATCATGAAGTGTGCCTTCAGCTACCAGGGCAGCATCCAGTTGGACAGGTCAGTAACAACACTCAGCATCAGGATCTTTGTTTGTACCAACTGGCTGTGGACTTACCTGACAGATAGGTGGAGCACCTTGGATGCTCACCTCAGCACAAAAGAAGATTCTATCCCCAGACTCAGACACGTAAGTAGAAGCCTGGCTGTTCATGCCATCTTATCAAGGGCTGAGGACCACACAGGCTTTGAGACGAGAAGACATGGATGCCACAGTGGTGCCTGTCCATGCTGTTTGAAGTTGTCTCCACCCAGATTCCCACCCGACCTCTGGGTCAGAGGCCTCCCCCCCCTTTATCTCTTCTGCATTCTCTCCCTTCAGGAACTCCCACTCCTACATCCAAGCTGTTGGGAACCTGAACAAGTTAATTTGTTCACGTTTGAGGAATGCCTTCTACCAGAGTGACTTCATCTATAGGCTGACCCCTGATGGTCGCTTGAGCCACTACGCCTGTCAGGTCGCCCATCAGCACACAGGTCCTGAGTTCTCCTCCTGGGAAGCCCCCCTCCTCTACCAAGGCCAACCCAAAGGAACCTGCCCTGACTCCTCTGGCATAGCCAGACCCCTCAGTGCCCCTGCAGGACCTGGTACACACCTAGGGTGGGTAGGTGTCTGGAGCAGGGGATGGGCATCGAGATGTTGTGTGCCAGGCACTGTGCCAGAGTTTTACTTGTGTCATCACATTTGGTTATGGTTAATGAGACCCCCTCCCAGGAAACATTCAAACAGAGGTTCCATGGGTTCTGCTAGTGAAGGAGTCCTGACCTGCAATCCACTGGTGCTAGTGCTTTCACCTCCAACCCACAGACAATCCCACACTCATCCTGAGCTCCACTTCAGTCAGGCCTGATGCCCACATTGGTGCCAATTATAATTGGCTGATGTGGCTGCTGTGGGTGTTTATGGCTGGTATGCCCAGAGTTCTTACTTTCCACTGGTAATCACTGTCCTGGGATAGAGCAAGTGATCAAGCTGAGGAAGGCTGATCTGCAGAAGGAAGGAGAGATGGAAAAGATCAGGAGGAAGAGGCACTTGGATTTCCTAGACATTCTGCTATGTGCAAAAGTGAGTGTGGGAGAGGCCTGAGGCTTTGTGCAGAAAAGCAGGGTCTGGGGGCAAACTCTGTACTCTCCACATGGCTTCCACCAGATGGAGAATGGACACAGCCTGTCCGACCAGAACCTTAAAGCTGAAGTGGACACATTCATGTTTGAGGGCCATGACACCACAGCCAGTGGTATCTCCTGGATCCTCTATGCCCTGGCCATGCACCCCAAGCATCAGCAAGCTTGTCGGGAGGAAATCCAGAGCCTCCTTGGGGATGGAGCTTTTATCACATGGTGAGTGCTCAAGAGATCGGGGAGCTCTGCCTCTCTGTTAGAGGAGAAGCACCTGGTCTATTAGCGCCTACCTGCCCCTAAGGCTGGGCTTCTTCTCAGGGACCACCTGAACCGGATGCCCTACACCACTATGTGCATCAAGGAGGCTCTGAGAATCTACCCTCCTGTGCCAAACATTTCCAGGGTGCTCAGCAAGCCCATCACCTTCCCTGATGGACGCTCCTTACCCAAAGGTATGAACTTCACCACACTCACTCACCTAACTGCCAGGAACTACATCCCCCACCACCACGAATTGCCAGTGAGTTCCCACTGAATCAGAGATCCCGACTCATGGCGACCCCATGTGTGTCAGAGTAGAACTGTATTCCACAGGGTTTTCAATGGTTGGTCTTTTGGAAGTAAATCACCAGGCCTTTCTTCCAAGACAACTCTGCATGGACCTGATCCTCTAACTTTTTGGTTAGCAGCTGAACCTTTGCACCACCCACTGGCTCAATCCATTGAGTCATCTCCTCAAGAAGATTTTAGGTTTAGAATGCGGCCTCTTCTGTTCTAAAATCCTAATTCCCTGAGATGTGGAAGGGCTCAAGAGAGAATCAGAGAAGGGCTGAGGTTGATGTGATCTTTTCCTTATGAGACTTCAGGGTAAATGAGGGAGTCAGGGAATCCAGTGTCATGGGTTAGGTGGGATCCAGGCTCTGAGGAACACTCAGGATGGTGGCAGAGAGCAGCTGATGACCAGATGTGAGACCACGGCCATGGTCAGAGGCTCTCCATTGGCTCACCTCCCATTGATTTGACTCAGCTCTGCTACATACTAGCTGTGTGATCCTTGGCAAATCACCCAGCCAATCCGAGCATTGGGTGTCTCATTTTAAAAACTGGGAAGTGAGTATGTTTTCCATGCAGGATGGTTGTGAGGATAGAATGAGTTAATGTATATTCCCCTCTGACACTTGAGTTACTACAGAGTCAGCCTTCGATTGTTTTGTTTTTCCTGGTTTGTGGCACCCAGTCCTTTTGAATATCCAAGTGAATTCTACTAGCTGAAGTACCAGGGAAACACCCCATAGGTATGTCCGTCTTTTCTCTGTCTCTAACCTGCCCCACAGGAATCAGAGTCACACTGAACATTTACTCCCTTCACCACAACCCAAAAGTGTGGTCGAACCCAGAGGTATGAGGCCCCGTGAAACAGGGATGGGATGATTTCTCAAGAACAACACCTCTTAAACCTCCTACCTCTGACAGTCACACCCCCTCATGCTTTGGAAGGAAGGGCTTGACCATTAGTTGTTCTGGCTCTGATGCTCTCTCTGCAGGTGTTCGATCCTTCCCGGTTTGCACCGGGCTCTGCTCAACATAGCCATGCCTTCCTGCCCTTCTCAGCAGGATCAAGGTGAGGAGACTTCCTTTGTGTGGTAATGGAGAGGGGTTTTCTGGGTGTGTGCCCTGATGGTAGTGATCTCCTATGTGCATAGATGGCAGCCTCAACTGTGCCTGGTAGTGTTGGTGTTTGTGGAAAGGGGGCCTTGTATGTGTCTCTGTACAAAAGAAAGAAAGAAAGAATGTCTGGGTGAGCCATGGAGACTTTGCTCCCACTGCTCTTTCCCAATGGCAGCCAACATTCAGCATGAGTGGATTTTCCAAAATTCAGTGTGTTCTGGTGTTTTAATCACTCTAGGACTATTTTTTCAGGGCAGAATACCTTGGACTTTTCACATTTCTGGTGTGTTTTTCTCAGTTGTCACAGTTTTTAGAGGTGGATTTCTCTATTTCTAATCATTCTAAGTGGAGCCCACTGCCTTTCCTACTTAATTCAACAATCTGACTTCCAACTGAAACAAATAGATTCTATGGGTTTCAGATTCCATAGGCATGTCTCAATTGTACAACCCATATACTTGAAGGGTTATGGTTGCCTTTTGAAGGAAGTGTTACACCAATTTGAGTCTTCTCTATTTTGCAGGCTATCCCAACAAAAATTTTCACTGAATGTTAATGTTCACATTCCCTTGACAACTTTCCTAATTTACAAAATTCTTCATATGAAGTGGGTTCTATACACCATGAATTAACACAGAGTCTGCATAGTTCGGAGACCTGGTGGCGCAGTGGTTCAGAGCTATGGCTGCTACCCAAAAGGTCGGCAGTTCAAATTCACCAGCAGCAACTTGAAAACCCTAAGGGGCAGTTCTACTCTGTCCTATAGGGTCATTATGAGTCAGAATAGACTCGATGGCAATGGGTTTGGTTTTTGGTTTGGTTTTCTACAAAGTTCAACACTAACAAAAAAAAAAAAAAAGAAAGAAAAAAGCATAAATAAGAACAATAAATAGTTTTTAAGGTAAAACCCATATTACATATGAAACTTAGAATTTGAAAGGTTCCTGCTGTGTAACTTATAAAACACACTTGAAACAGCTATTCAGTTGAGAAAAGTACACTCAAAATGGCTGCTGTCAAAATATCAAAGGCTGCCGAAATTGTCCTGTGAAATACAAGTTGTCATAAACATTGTAAGTATTTAACATAGAAAGATTTTGAAAAATCCATAATTCTCTTAGTTCTTCAATGGATGAGTCATATTTCAGACATCTGGCCTTAAGCATATTGTCCTTGCACAGATTAGCTTTCCAGGATTTCATTTCCCCTGAATTGATTCCTCCTTCTAAACACTGGCTGTAAACCATGTTGCCACTACTAGTTGGAAGTAGAGCCTTGGGTAGCTGAATTTCTAGGTCAGAAGTAATATTTGATTTGATCTGACTCTATTCCATTTTATTGTATTTACTCAATTCAATTGCTATAATTCAACTATAGAAGTATTTAATAAGTATATGCTCTGTGTGCCAAGTCCTGTATTGGGAGATGGTAACCCAGACATGAAAGTTACTGTCTGGGCCTCTAAGAGTTTTCAGCCAAGGACAGAACACATAGAAATAAACAGCTGTAGGTAAAGACATCATTAATTTATTCATTCACTCTTTCACTCATGGAGTAGTTGTTTATTCTTCCCATGTTCCTAGCACTGTCCTAGGCACTGGACTGGGATGTGTCCTTGAATAAAACACTAATGATGCCTTGGGGGACAGGGGAGAGAGACAGCTGGAAGAGAGGATGAGGGCAAGCTGTTCATTACAACTGAAACTTGAAGATGTGGGCAGGCAGAGGTGAAGGGAGAGCATGCTCAGTGATGCCAACGACAGGAACCTCAGCTAGAAAGTAGAGCTGGACAGGTAAATTTGGGTTAAGCAACTGCCCAAACAGGCTTTAAATACCAGCAAAGGTGTTTGGGCTCTGTTCTACCTGCCATGGAGAGAACGGGGTTTGAGCAGGGCTATGGCTTCAGTGTGGAGGGAGCAGAGGCAGGAAGACCAGAAAAGTCCAGGTAAGGAGAATGAGGGATCTCAAGGAGGCGACATTTCTGGAGTAAGAATGAAGGCTACAGAAGCTGGTTGAAAAGGGGGTAAAGGGGAGAGTGATCTAGACCATTAATTAGAAGTCTGAGGGTACAACAGGGAGAGGACGGGAGGAGACTTCCAGTTCCCTACATCCCCCCTTTTCCCCAGGAAGCTTCCCTGTTGCCCCTATGACTCTCCTACGCCACCCCATCTTGTCCTCCCTCTGAGGATCTGGGCACCAGTGTGTCCTCCTCGGTGGTGAGGGCCTGAGAGTGTGGCCCACCTTCCCCTGCAGTGCCCAGAACAGCGGCCTTCCCATTGTGGAACCAGACACTGTTAGTGCAGTGAGTGAACAAACCGGTGATTCACTTTTTGAAGCCCTTCATTTGATTAAACTCTGCAGCTTAGAGCACTCGTCCTTTCCTGACAAAGGATTTCAAGCTGCTGTTTAACAACAGACCTTTCTTGCTAAGATCAGACCTATTCCTTTCCCTCCAAACATTTACTCACTCATTCAGTAAACATAACTGAGCCCCTACATGTGCCAAGCAGGGTTACCACAGAGAAAAGTTGCCCTTACACCACAGCTGAGGTACCTGGAGGGAAAGAGAAGATTCTGTGCAAAACTTAAATGTCCCCATGAGAATATCTAGCCCAGTCTTTCTCAACCATATTCCATGAGAGAATTAAGGCTTAAAGCTCTAAGGTATTCATTAAATGTAATGAATTAACTTTTCTCCTCTGCATCTAGAATGGTCTAGCTTGTACCACACTTAGAACTATGAAACTGGCCACTCAAATCATTTTCTGAAGAGATTAATTGTCTCACAGAACCCATTTGAAAAAGGCTATTAAGCACTCACTCTTGTACCCCCACCCTTTCTCATGCTCCTCCCTTTGCTTAGAATGGCCTTCCATTCTGGAATGGACTTCCATCTTCAAAGTCTATATCAAATGTTCCCTCCTTTGCAAAACTTTTCATTTCCACCACCCATCCCATAGTTGTTAACAAGATTAGTAGCCTACTCTCAGCCCACAAATCTTGACTTCCCGCTGGCAAGAATCAGCAGAGAACAGGAAAAATATATCAGTTTATATTACTCAGAGAGAGCTCAGCAAGGGGAAATGTTGCTGAGACCCCAAGTAGGAGTTAGAAGCTAGGCCTGGAAGAGTGATCAGATCTGTCAAAAGTCAGGGGGTTATGTGACAAAGGCTTGGGGATAGGGGCATGTGTGACCTGTAAGCAGAGGACTAGGGGCTCGGCCCCACCAACGAGGGCTTAGTGGCCAATGCCTGCCCAGCTCAGGACCTGGATTGAGGCTGTTTCCTCTTGAATGTCCCTCTCTGGCCCAGAAACTGTATTGGGAAGCAGTTTGCCATGAATGAGCTGAAGGTGGCCGTAGCCCTGACCCTGCTCCGCTTTGAGCTGTCACTGGACCCCACCAGGCTTCCCATCCCTGTTGCAGAAATTGTGTTGAAGTCCATGAATGGGATCCACCTGCACCTGAAGAAGCTCCTCTAACTCCGGTGGGGATAATGGCAGGCTCATCCCAACTATTTCCCTGAGATAGCCTCCTGCCTTCCATCCTGTCTTTCTGTCCCGCTGCCCCTGTCCCTGGTGTGTCTGCCCATCCTCCTGCTTTCTATCTTCCACTTGAGTCACATCCTGACTCCTGTCCACCAGACTGCCTGCACTTCTCTCTGCCAACCTTTCTCCAGGTTCCCTCCCTGTTTGTCTGTCTTCCTTTCTCCACCTACATCTCTCACACACCTGCCCTCCAGCCTGTCTATCCATCTACTGGTCTTTTCCCTCTGTCCACTTGCCTGGCCTCGTATGAGTTTCCTGATGCTGCTATAACAAATTACCATAAACTAAGTGGCTAAAAACAACACAAATTTATTCTCTTATAGTTCTGAAGGTCAGAAGAAATGGATTCTACCAGATGAAAACCACAGTGGAGCCAGGCCAATCTCCCTCCAGCAGCTCTAGGGGAGAATCCATCCCCCTGCCTTTTCCAGCTTCTAGAGCTGCTGTCATCTATAGGGTCACTATGAGTCAGAATCTGCTTCACAGCCAATGAATTTAGAGCTACTGTCCTTCAATTTCTTCACTCACATCTCCCTCCTCCATCTTCAAAGCCTGCAGCATCTCAAATCTCTCTCTCCTTCTGCCTTCATATTGCCTTCTCTCTTATAAAAAAACTTTGTGGTAACTTGGTCTCACACAGATAATCCAGAAAAATCTCTCCATTTCAAAATCTTTAATGTAATCACACTTATAAAGTCCTTTTTGCCACAAAAGGTAATATAATCACAGTTTCCACAGATTTGACTGTAGTCCTTTGGGGGCCATTGTTCAGCACGCCAGTCCTCTTAGGACTGCCTTCTGGTCTATCACTCTCTACACAATTTGTTATTCACGCACATTTCTGCTTCTTTCCCCCTTCCCCAACACTACCCAGGTAGAATAAACTGCACAGTGCTTCAAGTAGTCTCTGTTTTCCTTGGGATGGAGAAGGAAGGCAGGGAAGAGAGGGGGTGAGGAAAGAAGTCCCTGCTGAGGAAGGAGAGGAGAGCTGACACTTTCTCTGTGGTGCCCAGGACCCTGTGTGCTACCTCAAGTAAACTCATCCCAGCCCAATGCTTCCTAGCCCTTCCACACAGTCCTCACTCTGTGTGGTCCTCAATGCCCACACTCCACCCAGCTCCTGAAGGCTTCCATGTTAGCTGGATTTAGAGACAGGGCTCCTCCCTCAGGCCACTGTTAAATGAGAAACTATTTGTTCTGTAAACCTTCACTTGAAGTACAATTAAAAAAACAAATAGGCAAAAGATATGAACACACACTTCACCAAAGAAGACATTCAAGCGGTCAACAGACACATGAGGAAATGCTCACAGTCACTAGCCATCAGAGAAATGCAAATCAAAACCACAATGAGATACTATCTCACACAAACATTATTGGCATGAATCAAAAAAACAGAAAATAATAAATCTTGGAGGAGTTCCGGCAAGATGGCGCTCTAGGCAGAAGCACTACGCTGTCACTCCACAGCAAAGATCCAAAAAACTAAGCCAAACAGAGAATCAACAATCCTGAAACCCTAGAACATCAAATGAAGAGATAAAGAACTCAGCTGAGCACCAAATGGAGTGAGAATACTGAAAGAGAATAGAGAGCGAGGAGAGATTCATGCAGAGGTCCCCTACCAGCTAACGCAGCGCGGATCCACC